GGTGCTCCTTTGATGGGAACGCAAATCTGCGTTCCCACTTAAGAACTGGAAAATTGAGATCATTATGACTTTGCTATCCATCAAAGCTTCCTACTCAGAAGAACACAGTTTTAAAAGGAATGCATTTATCCCATCTCGGATTTTTGGTGTGCCTTTTTTTTTTTCTTCTCTAAAGCATAACAAGCTTGTCAGAGTTTCCATGGTGAACGTGGGGCACCATGGAAACTGATAGATTTAGCTACACAAGAAGAATAAATAAAATAGGCAGGCATTTATTTCACTGTGCAGTGACAACTTCTCTCTTGCCTGGAAGAGGAAAGTGGCTTCTCATTTAACCTGCCTGTCCTTCACTCTCTGTGCCTCATGAAAACATGAGTTACTCACTGCATCATTTTACTGACCTGCGCTGATTGGATTGTTCCCCTTGAGGTCTATTGGTCCTACTTTGGTTTCACTTTGGGGTAGATCTCTGTGTCACTGCAACCGTTGGAAAAGCACGTGTAATATGAAAGTTGTAAATGACAACCCACGGTGCACCAACATAGTCATGGAAAAATTGAATGGAAAATTCTTTGCCGTCTACTGGGATGAGACAATCTGTGAGAGCAACTAGAGTCAAGAGCCGGGTCCATCCTATACTAACTAGATAGACAGGCCAACTCCCCTGAACCTCAGCTTCTCCATCTCTGAAATGGTTAAAATATATCCTCTTCCTACTTTATAAGATTGTTGTGAGGCTCAGAATAAGATTGTGGAAGAGAAAGCCTTTTTCAATAGTCAAGTTCTGTCTAGCAGGAGAGATTGACTAGCTACGGGTATAATTATACGAATAAAGTGACCAAAATGTCAAAACTGATCATGCTATGCTCCTGTCCTTTGCCTCAGGCAGTTAGAGGTTCAGAATACACTGGTCCCTCCCAGTAGTTGTGGGGTTTTGAGATCACCTGGCTACATCTAAAGTAGGGAGAATTGTGATCTTGAGACAGGAAGCTGTTCAACTTTTCTGTGTATTTGAAAATTTTCATAATAAAATGCTGGAAAACTAAGCAAAATGAAACTCTTAACTTTTAGTCCTAATGAATTGATCACCATTAGCACACCCCCTCTATAGATTTTTTTTTAAAGATTTTATTTATTTATTTGACAGAGAGAGACACAGCGAGAGAGGGAACACAAGTAGGGGGAGTGGGAGAGGGAGAAGCAGGCTTCCTGCGGAGCAGGGAGCCTGATGCGGGGCTCGATCCCAGTACCCTGGGATCATGACCCAAGCCGAAGGCAGACGCTTAATGACTGAGCCACCCAGGCGCCCCTATAGATTTTTTTAATCACTAAAATATAGGCAATAGAGCCATCACTTGAGATCCAATATTTATATAAGTCTATTGAGTACCGCCTATTGGGCAGGCACTATGTTAAGGGGATACAGAGAAAGAAAGGAAGGAGACATGGTCCTTAAGTAGAACACAATCTTCTGGTGGAGATAGATAATAAAAGGAACAATTATAGCACCCCACAAACTCAGAGAAGGAGCACTTAGTACCTGAGAGAGAGCGAGGAGGTGTAAAGATGTTCTGGAAGGGGTTGGGAATGGGCAATTAAGCTGAAGGATTTAGCCAGGGGAGAGTGGGCAGTAGAATAAGGCAGGCGCGGTGTAAGGTGGCTTTAGGGCGCTGCAGGCAGAGATCGTGAGCAAAGCAGATGCACAGCATGTGGGATACTGGAGGGAGAAGAGCCCGAAGAAGCAGCGAGGGCTTCAGGAAGCCTCCATGCCAAGGAGCCTCCATACCAAGGAGCGTCTCTTTTCTTTGGAAGGAAGTGGTACGTGTGGTAGGGCACTGAAAGTGCATACCATTGTTGGATTTCCTTTTGAGAAATTGCGTTGGTGAGGGTTGAAAGGAGCCATTGCTGACGGAATAGTGATATGAAGAAATAGCAGGGAAATGCACATTGAACACTAACTTCTTAGGTCCTTTCAGTTCTAATATTGCATGAATATAAACGTGGGCTATAGAAAGAGCTGAAGAATAGAAACTGCTATTTCCTTGAGACTTTGGAAGCACAGGACATGCTTTGCCGCGTCAGAATAACCATATTAACCAGAAGCTGTCTTGTGATGCGCTTGGGCCATGTTTCAAAGGTGAATATAAAAGCTCCACACTCCTTTCTTCCTCCAAACTTCAGTGGCCTTGAGAACATTTCCCTGGGATACCAAGATGGGAGTCAAAACTGCAGGGGGACCAGCGAAGTAAAGGACGAGGATGGAAAACACATGAGAATAGTTGGGAAACCAAGATTTCCTGACACCTGGCTGAGCTGAGGCTACCGAATCCTAAGTGAGGTGACTGCAACTTGGCTGGGAATTGAATTGGGAGAGAGTATTGCTTGGAAGAGCTAACCCCCAAGGAGTGCTAATGCTGTGTCCTCTGGAGGCCCATGACCATTCCTTCTGTTTAAGATGAACTTTATTTAAAGCTACACAATAATTACTCGTTCCATAAGCCACACATAACAACGTCAACAAACATCAAAACAAAACAAATTCCCTAGCAATTCCATTTTCTCAATAGAATGATATCCACTGTTTGGATCCACTTTGAAATTCTAGCCTCTATGCCTATAGGTTTTTCATGATTTTAACCAGAGCATAAATGACATTCTAAAAAACTTAACCATTTTATTATATGCAACGCCCATGTGGCTACATAGTTCCCCCATTTTTAACAACTGCATAATAGTCTACTGAGTAAATAGATTCTAATTTACTAAACTAGTTTCTATTGTTGGTCACTCAGGTTGCTTTCATTAAAAAAAAATTAGCTGCGGGGCGCCTGGGTGGCTCAGTCGTTAAGCGTTTGCCTTCGGCTCAGGTCATGATCCCAGCGTCCTGGGATCGAGTCCCACATCAGGCTCCCTGGCCAGCAGGGAGTCTCCTTCTCCCTCTCCCACTCCCCCTGCTTGTGTTCCTGCTCTCGCTATCTCTCTCTCTGTCAAATAAATAAAATCTTAAAAAAAAAAAAATTAGCTGCATCTGTTTTAGGGAACCAATACCTCTTTTGGAAACGTTTAATTGACTCCTTTTTTAAACTAAGACACAGACATTTTCTTCACTTTTCTTTCTGAGGTTCGTAGGTAGACAAGCCTAGGTCAAGAGGATGTTTTCACTGTGCTGGTCATTGGAACTACAAGGAGGGAGCAAAGTCTGCAGAATCAGGAGTCGATGATAAGGAGAAAGAGCTACTGTGGCAACCTCAAGAGGCAAGTGCAATGTTCTTAGCTTCAGGGCTTCCCAATTCTGAGTCCTTGGTAGGGTGACCAGCCACCGCAGTGCGCCCTGGACTGCAGAGTTTCCTTGAGGTGAAGGAGCTGAGAACGGAATGAATCATTTATGTAAACTAGCCCTGCATCATAATGGTGACAATTCAGAGAAAGCCCACTCATTCCCTGAAATGAGAAACCCTTATCCTGTAGGTAGGAGCCAGAATGGATATTTATCTCAGGTTATTGCTCTGCTCCCCCAAAAACTATTCATACATTTATTCAATAAATATGTATGAAACACCAAGCAGGGTTCTAGGCATAAGAGCCCTGGTCTTGTGGTGCTTCCATTACTCTGTGTGTGCATGTTGGGGCAAGAGGGGCAGAAATAAATGAAAACGCATGAAATATATGAGGATGGATATGATAAGTACAATGGCAGAAATAAGATGGATTGATGGAATGGAAATTTCGGGGGTGGGGGATTGCTACTAGTTTGGTGGTGGGGGAAGGTTACCCCGGAGAGCTACACTGGAGGCAAACCAGTGATGAGAAGAGCCAGTCATGTGAAGATCCTCAGGAGGCATTAGGGGCAGAAGGAGCAGAAGGAATGTGTGAGGCATGAGTGGAAACCAGGTGGTCTTCCTGGAGGAACTTAGTAAAGGACTTCATGAATGCAGTACGAGGAGAGAATGCCGATCTGGAAGCAGTCTTAGCATCCACCCGATCTAAGTTCCATTTTCACACGTGAAGATAAAGACTCCGAGGCTCACTGCCTTGACCACAGTCTATTGATTGCTAATCCGGTACTGCTTGGGAGAGCTAACCCCCAAGGAGTGCTAATGCTGTGTCCCCTGGAGGCCCATGACCATTCCTTCTGTTTAAGATGAACTTTATTTAAAGCTACACAATAATTACTCGTTCCATAAGCCACACATAACAACGTGTTATGCCACGTTGCCACTAGCCACTCAGCTTGAGAACTTAATTTTCTCCCCGGGTACAAGTGGAATTGAATCAAAGAGATTCACTTATTTTAGGTGTGAGAACGACGGGAAATGGAATTGTTTGTGGAGGGACACAAGGGCCAAAAACACTGGCCTCAAGGTGGGAGAGAGGGGCTTTGGGGTACAGATCAACCTCCGCCGGTGGGGGCCCCCGTAATTCCGTTAAGAGATGCTTTCAGAACATCAGGTTAGGACAAATTCTGCAACCTGCAGAAACTGAAAATGAAACTGGTCGGTAAAGCGGGCAGCTCCAGCTGACCTTTCCACCTTTTCCTGAACTTGGGCCCGTTCAGACCTTGAGGGTGCTACAGGTTGAGAACGTACAAGGTTTGGTCACAAATAGCCCGAGGTTTAAAGGGCAAGAGAAAGCAGGCAGACGCAACTCTAGGTATGCCAATAAAGAAAGGTGGAGGAGGCTGGGGGACAGGGAGCGATAGCAAACTGAGTGCCCAGCTAAGGTACCGGGCTGGACCCCTGGGCTCCTCCTGCCCCTTCTTTCATCTCCCTCTCCTCTCTCCCCTGGGTCGGCAACTCAGCCACCCGAGGTTAAAAGTACTGCGTTGTGAGCGGCGATTCTGGAAGCTCAAAGAGTTAACCTATCAAAAACTAACACAGGGGAGGAGAGAAAGACCACACCCCAAGGGAGCGCGGAGCCAAGTCACAGGAGAAAAATCCTATTGGCATCGAGGAGGCAGGAAGCCCGCCCCTGGGCGCGGCCTGCAGGGGGCAGGCTGTCGCTCGGGAAGGCAGGGGCAGTACGAGGCCCCCAGCAGGTGCGCCCGGCAGCCGCCCGCATCGCAGGGACCCCTCGCCTCACCTCCGCCGGGTGCGCTCTCCTCGGTTCGCGAACCCCGCGCCGCGCGCCGCCGCTGACATGTGTGCCGCCCCGATGCCGTCCCTGGCGCACATCTTCCGAGGGACATTCATCCACTCCACCTGGACTTGCCCCATGGAGGTGCTGCGGGATCACCTCCTCGGCGTGAGCGACAGCGGCAAAGTAAGCGGGCGCGGGGTCTGGCGCTCCCCGACGGGCGCGCGGACAGGTGGAAGGAGTCCCGCGCGGTGCGCTGCGCAGCCCGGAGTCGCTGCGCGCGGAGCGAGACCGCCGCTCCGGAGTTGAACTTGATTGTTTGACCCTTGGAGAACGCGGGGAGAGCCCTGGCGCTGGGTTCGTGGGCTGGCCTGGGAGAAACGCGCTCCCAGAAGCAGGGAGCTGTAGAGTACGCCCTCCCACGACTGGTTAGCAGCCGTCCGGGCTGCAGTGGAAGGGGGAGCGAGGCTATGCCCTCGCAAATCTTAAGAAATCGTTAAGACACCTGGACTTTGCTTCATTCAGCTTTGTATCTCCGGCGCCTGGCACAGTGCCTGGCACAGGCTAGGCGCTCCGTAAATTTGAGTGAATTTATTGTGGAAGAAATAACAGAGGAGGGGTCACTTGGTTAATGTTGGTTAGCCCTTGCAGCGCACATAATAAGCAAAGAACTGATTTCATTCACTTGCTCGCTCAACAGACACTGCACCGACTCCAGCTAGATAACTTATAATACTAGAAAGGATAGTCTGAGAGAAATTATCCATGTCCCCTCTGCCTCCCCATAGCCATTTGTCCATTTGCATCAAAGCAAGCAGTTCCATTTTCAGGCTCAAAATGTCTTCTATGAGTGTATCTTCTATATTTCTTTTAACAAAATCGGGATTTCTACAAACGACCTAGGTAACTTGATGTCTAATATTTACCGTGCATATGCCCCGTGCCAGAGGTGGTAACTTCATCAGCAGCGGCTTGGCCAGTTTGATAAGTGGAAGCCATTCCATTTTTAGCAGAAAAAAATAAAGATGAGGATGGGATATTTTTGAGCTTTTTCCCAACTACCAGTCTGGTTAGCAAAAGTACACCTATTTGTGACTTGTCAGCTTGAAGAGACTATTCCTGACTAAATACGCTTCCCAGTCAGTGACGGTTTTGAATCGTGACTCTTATATTTGGGGATAAGCGAACCCTGTTTTCTTACTGTGCTTAAAAATTATTCTCTCTGTGCATATTCAGGGAGCCTGCTGCTGTGTTTCCAAGGTGATGGAACTCTCAGAGCTCCCCCAGATGGGGAGACTGTTTAATTATTGCCTTGTGTACTTGACCCTCAAGTTTGGAGGAACACTTAAGCTTGAGGCAAGTCCCAAGAAACAACGGAACAGAGACCTCTAAACTGGGGAGGGATTAAGAGGAGCTTGCCTAATCACAAGGAGCTGTTCAACTCTTGGGTTTCTTTATAAAAATTAATTGCCCATATCCAGAACTTTAATTGGTAAGATAGCAAGCAAGAGGGTGGGTTGAAGACTGTCTTCAACCAGTAGAGAGGAGTCAGAAAAGGAAATAATTTATCTAAAACAAAATTACCTCTGCTGGGGGTTGTACAGAAGAAGGAAAGCGTTGACTCAGGGAGTCTATTCTCCACTAAGGAGCATACTGAAGTTATAAATTTAGAAAAATGCCATTCCCTCACAAGATAAAATTGACTAGGAATTGAATACAAAGGTGAGTTAATCAAGTGCCTTGTGAAACATCCTAATCAGTGAATTGGTAACTGTTGATTTCTCTTCTAGCTGCAAGGCAGTTGATTGTGGACTACGTGTAAGGGGAGAATGTGCCGTATATATTTCAAGATTTGATTTCCCCCATTTTGAAAGTGGGAATGCTTTGCCTTTATAGTTGCTGGGATAATATTTATTCAAAAAATGTCAAGGTTCAGGGACGCCTGCGTGGCTCAGTCGGTTAAGCAGCTGCCTTCGGCCCCGGTCATGATCCCAGTGTCCTGGGATCGAGTCCCACATCGGGCTCCTTGCTCAGGAGGGAGCCTGCTTCTCCCTCTCTCTCCTTCTGCTTGCGCTCTCTCTGTCAAATAAATAAAATCTTAAAAAAAAAAAGTCAAGGTTCTTATACCAAATTAACTCCCCATAAAATAAATATGTGGAGTCATCGTGATGTTTACATTTTTACTGAGCTAAAGCTGTTTGCACCCTTTGGGATGATCAGAAACATCTAGGGGGTGTTTGTTAAAGTGCTGGTTCCTGGGGGTCATCCTCAGAGAATGTGAATTTATAGGCCTGGAGCAGGCCCCAGGAAATGGCATTCCAGCCAAGGTCCCAGGAGATTTGGAGGCAGGCAGTGGGTGCATTACGTCTTGGGTAACCACAGTGTATGGGTTGTGTGTTGGAACCAGTTCTATGGGATCTTGGGAACTAGTTCTTCATTTTGAGCTCATGTCTAGGGTTGAATGTGAGAGAGAGAATGACTTTGTCTTCCCTCTCCCTTTTAGACCTCAGCTCTCATGTCATGTAACTTCGTTTAGACCCAGAGCATGATAATGACTACTTTTAATTCATTAATTAAAGCTCATTCAAAATTAGGTTAATTAAAAAAAATTCTCTAGTCAACCTTTTAGTATTGGGCATTTTGAATTCAGAGTTAGTTTTTCTACTTGAGTGGCATGTACCTTTTTAAGAGAAAGACTCCAGCATGTGTAATTTATTTGCAGATATTTAATGAAATTTTGAGACTCTGTATGCTCCCATACTACTAAATATCCAATTCTTCCCACCTAGAACAGGATCAGGTTGACTTTAAACTTGCCTAAAAGAAGTCTTGGGTCTTTTAATGCACATTTACTGGAAGCAAGCACGAGGAAGAGAATCATTTTGGGGGTAGTGTCCTGGGATGGCAGGAGCAAGTCCTATGAAGAAACCAGAGAGTTGGGTTCAAGTTCGGTCTTCACCACTTACTTTCTCTGAGACCATGAGCGAGACACTTAACCTGTCTGAACCTCCGTTTCCTCATTTGTAGAATCAGATTTTCTTTTGCTAAGTATTAAATGAGAGAATATATGAAAATGCCTGGCACTTAGTGGATACTTAACACATGCCATATTCATTCTGTCCCCTTCTTTCCCTCTGCTCCTAGTGATGTAGTTTTTGAATGTTTGTGTGTTGGTGTTGGTAGGGTGAGGTCCAGAGCCGACAGCCAAGAAAGGATTCTTGAGATGTCTTGGTGCAAAATGGTGCTTTTATTAAAGCACAGGGACAGGACCTGTGGGCAGAAAGAACTTTTACCTGCTGTTCCCTGCTGCTCTGGGCCTGTGAGGAGCAAGTGATCATATACCTTGGGGTTGGGAGAAGTAAAGATAAGGGAAGTTCCAAACGGACTTTGATCTGCTAAAGAAGGCTCAGTTTCCTGGAGGAATATTATAATCTGCCTATCTCAAGTATCTGTCAATGGGCTGCAGGTTATAAGGACGTTTAATTTTATCTACGTTTCCTTCTGCCTTTAGTTTCCCACATCACTAGCAAACCCTTAACCTCTTACTCACTCTAGTATTTTTTGCATATTTCCACATGGTGGCGTCATGCAGACCAGCAAGTGGAGAAGAATGCCGTGGCCTGCGATGCACTGTGTGAGAAGTGGGGAGGCCACCAGATCTCAGCTGTGAAGCCGCCCAGCTCATGTCATTGGCCCACTGGGACACAAAGATGCAGCTGGGAAGAAAGATCTAACGAGGGTTTGTTGACAGGTTCCCTAGCACATCATATTTAGTATCCCACCGTGTCGTTATTCCCACTTACAGGTGGGGAAGTTGAGACTTGTCTTCAGCTCAGGTTATGATCCCAGGCTCCTGGGATTGAGCCCCGCTCAGCAGGGAGTCCACTTCTCCCTCTCCCTCCGCCCCTCCTCCCCCACTCGTGTTCTCTCTCTACGAGCTCTCTCTCACTCTCAAATAAATAAAATATTAAAAAAAAGAGGCAGTGTAGTGCGCCAATTAAGATACAAATTTCTTTTTGTACTTTTTTTTCTTGAGTATGGTTGATACACAGTGTTACATTAGTTTTAGGTAAGATATGAATTCTTAAGAATGCTTCTGTCACGTACATATGTGAATTTGATGAAGTTACTTAACATTTCTATTTCCCAGTTTCCTAATGTATAAAATAATTAGCATAATCCACCTCATAGGGTTGTTGGAAGGCTTAAGTGAATTAGTAATTGTGAAGTGCATAGAATGCCTTGCACGTAGCATACACCTGATAAACACCATCGGTTATCAGCAGTGGAGATGGAGAGAGGTGGACAGGATTGATTGTGACTTAGGTCAAGTCAGCTGGATTTGATGAGAGAGTTAGAGAGCTATATGTGACTGTATTAAATCATATGGTGGGATACTTATTTTCCCAGCTTCCTGGTGGTGAAGGGTGACCAGGGATGACATTCTGACATGCAGGAGGTTGGCTCAAAGGCTTCTTGGAAATATTTTTCTCCTTAACAAAGGTGGTAAGAGAAGGTCTTCCCTTTTTGGTTGCTTTCATATGAGGAGTGGAGCTGCCGCCGCCTTTGTTTGAGACTCTGAGGAAAAAATTAAGAGGATCTCAGAGGCACTTACCTAGTCCGTCTTTGAACATCATCAGATACGTCCATGAATAACGTCACCGGATAGTTAACTGTCCCTAGAACTGCCCATTGCCCTCAGAATTCTTCGGCGTGAGAATGAAATGTCTTTTTTTTTTTTTTTTGAATTTTAAAAGATTTTATTTATTTATCTGAGAGAGAATGAGAGAGAGAACACGAGAGGGGGAAGGGTCAGAGGCAGAAGCAGACTCCCTGCTGAGCAAGGAGCCCGATGCGGGACTCGATCCTGAGACTCCAGGATCATCACCTGAGCCGAAGGCAGTTGCTTAACCAACTGAGCCACCCAGGTGCCCATGAAATGTCTTTTTTGTCTACACCTCCATTAAGTGCAGCCCAGAGCACCTCTAACGATTGCACTGCTTTTTTCAAAGAATCAAATTATTTTTCAAAGGACTGCTCACTGCCTTCCCCTTTTCCCATTTCTGTTGTCTTCTTATTGGCCCCAAATGTCAGTGTCTTTTCAGGCACCCATATCAGTAGTCAAGCGGGCCAGTTTACCTCTTGGCTATCTTTGTATATACAATCCTCTCCATTGTCATTGACCT